ACCTGTCGAGACATGTCACAGCAGGCACAGGCCTGTTGCTCATCCTTTCATATTCAGGTAGGTAACTTATTGAGTGGCCCTCGTAGGTCTGGGATCGCGTGGAATGCTGAAAGCGGTAAAGACCAGCAGGATATGAAACACTCAGGAATCTTTGTTTATTAATTACATGAGAACGGGTCTCAGAGGTTGAAGAATCCTGAAGTTGAAGGTCGACAACACGGGAACTGGGCAACTCTTTCTGTTATACCATAAAAATGTATGAAAAAAGCATGACATGACTTTTGTGGCTTCGACGAGGGCGTGGCTTTGTCTGGCGTCCACTCTCATTATACCCGCCCACCTTGGGGATGTATTAGCCTTTGTGTTGGTGGTTATGGAATTTTTATGTTGCCCGATTCAGCCGACTTCGTAAGAAACTTAAACTTAAACCATTAACGTTGGAAACTGTTCTCTTGGAAAGCACATAGTTTCCAACATAGTTTCATAGTGGAGTTTGTTTTCGTCATTAAAATTTATATTAGTCTCAATACTTGAGGGATGCTGAAGTGCCAGTGCTTGTTCTATCCTCAAGTTTAGAGTACCATCGTTGAATCGTCATCTTCTGCAAGATTGAGAACAGTGGCTACTGCAGGAGCTCAATTATGACATTACATATATGGTAGATCCCCATCGCTTTATCTTTGTCTCCAAGAGAGACTCTATTCTGCTCAGAGATGCTCAGTCTCGGAATCGGATTTCTTCGTGGTATGTTTGTTATCACCTTCTCTCGTTTGTCTCCTCATAAAGGGGCCTATCTATTCGGAATGACCATTGGGAAAGAGAAGCTGCTTATCGTCATCATCCAGCTTATGCGTTTCTTGGAAGATGAATCATTTCCCGCGATCCCCTCACGCTTCCAGTTACCTCTTGTCTTACCAAGGACTTGCTCCATTAGTCCGTGCTTCATAAGCGTGAATTATCGTCGTCAGAAAATACAAAAGCATGAAACTAACAAATGCCTGCGAGTTGCCACATATCGTCTTTATTCCTCCTTTCCCCCGACCCAACATGAATCGTCTTGCCACTGCGAACGTCATACGTTCCGGTAGGAAAGCAATGGAAAGAAAGGACTTCAGAGACTTCAAAGAGTTCAGAGGAAAATATTTTTCATGACAATAGTGGTATCGATGCGGAATTCATGATATACTTACGAATTTCCACTCATGCAGAACGACTAGTAACTCAAACATACGCACGCACAAAAGGAATTTATTTTCACAGTTTCTTGATCTCGTTGCTCATCAAGAGAATGTCTCTGGATATGAGTTTCTCCAAGTCTGCTCTGGACAAATGTTCGATGGTCTGCGGAGAATGTCCGAGAATGCCTGCGATAGTGCGAAGTTCCTGAGTATCGAGGGGAACGGTATTGAGGGCATCATGGACGTGCGACATCATCTGTTCCAGCTGGGCGTGACTGAGGTGCAGTGGGGCTCCGTTCAGTTCCAGTGCCTGTTTTTGTTCCGGGGTCAAAGTCAACATGCTGGCGTCGACCATGGCACTCAGCTGTTGATTAGTCATCGAAGCCGGCTCTCCTTGAGACAGATGGTCCATCACCTCGATCAAATCGTAGTAGACCAACAGGTTCCTTGTGTATTCTGCTGAACTGATGATCATGAGGGGCAGCGACGGGTCTCGAGGAGGGGGAGGTGGGAGATTCGTGCTATTGTCCGATGTCGTGTTTCTCGAGTCGGCTGTGACCGCTTCAATGCCATCTAGGTTCACTTGAATCTTTGCTCCTTGGAACTGGATCACAAGCTCTTCTCTCGTCTCAGGATCCGAAGAATTCTTGACTGCAAAATGAAACGTGCCTTCTATACAATGAGAACTGCTGAAAAGCAGAAAAAAGAATGATTTAAAGAGGTAACTTATCCTACCGAGTTTTTCTCTGTGAAGCGTTGGTGGAGGCATCGGTCCATTGGTCTTGTCGACCTGGAGATGAAGCTTCCTATTTGCATCTTGAAAGATGCTAAGACGTGTCGTCTCATCGATGGGGATTCTGTTTTGAGGTCCAAAACCGAAAGATCTTTGGGGACCAGGATTAGTAGGTACTGGTTCTGGAGGAACTAGATCAGAAGTAGCCAGAAGAAGCTGCAAAGCTTGTTGCAATTGGCGCTCTTCTAGTTGCTGTGGCGTCAATCCATGGTGATTCTCGGAACGCAAAGTGCTGAGGATTCCCTGTAGATGAGCTTCTTCCAGGGTGGACAGTCGCTCTTGCGTTTGGCCTTGATGTTGGGCTACCTGGGTTCCGGCTGTTTGGTCAAGCGTCGCAGGTGACTGTTGTTGCTGAGGCTGGACGGAAGGATTTGATTCCAGAATTAATTTAGCATGGGGATTTCCTTGCTGGAGAAGGGTTTGCTCGATCAAACTGATGATTTCCCGCACCGCAGGATCAGGCATATCGGGGGTCCCCTGGTCGATAAGCGATGCGGTAAATAGGAGAGCCGCAGCGTCTTCAGGTGTGAGCTCAGGATGATGAGCTGGCTCTTGCTGGGAACTTTGCTCAGTAGGTAGAGGAACTGGCTGTAGTTCAGCCGCCAGATGGGAAACTTCTTGGCCTGACACTCCTGGAGCTATCGGCAGGGAGGATTGAGATCCAGAAGCCAAGGCCTCTTCTTTTCTGGTTGTCTGAGGTATCATTGGCGTCACGTGAGAATCTTGGACAGGCGGAATCTTTGTCGTTGTCAGAGGGGTTGAGAGTGGCTCTGGAGTCGCCGTCTTTGCGATTGCTTGTGATATTTCAGTGGCCTTTTCGATAACTAACTCCCGGGGCTTCTTGGAGATCAGATCGATTAGGCTTTGCCTATCCAAATTTGCTATCGAGCCGACATCAAAACCTAGAATTAAGGCCACCGTTCTCAAGTCTTCGATAGCGGGTTGAGAAGCTTCTTGATTGGTTGGAGTTTCACTTGGTTCCACAAAGACCATATGCTGTGTTTCCTTTGTAGAAGGCGGCTGCTGATGTTCGACGGGAGCGTCAGGCGTCAAAAATACAGCATCGAGTTGGTCGAGTGGCGTCGGCTGAGCTTTAGAGAGATCTAGGGCAGCAGCATTTACTGCGCCTTCTAGGTGGACTGTTGCTGGTTCATGCGCAGCTGGTATTATGAGTTGTCCAGGCGTAGGAGTTCCTGTTGAACCTGCAGCAGAAGAAACGAAAGTGCCAGCTGATTTTACTTCTGAATGGGTCCCAAAAGATGCTTCTCCTGTTGCAGATGCAGCAGAGGTAGGGAAGGAGATTGGGATCAAAGGTATTGCTGGATCAGAAGTGATACCAGGAGCTAATGAAATAGGGGCAGCTTCTGGCACCTCTTTTGGCACGGTGGGTTGCAGCTTAGGAAATGATGGCATTTGGGAGAAAACAGGAACTGGAATAATTTGCAGGGGTTCCTTCAACATGGTCGTAGGAGACGCAGGATGTAATGGTTCTCGCCTGGCAGGCGCTGAATCAGACTTTACTGGAGTTCCAGCAATTGATGGAAGAGGAAATACTTCAGGAACTTTTTCTGATTTTGTAGGAACAGGATGAATATGAGGTGAGGCTGGAACTGGAAGTACCGGCGCGAGTTCCTTCTGTGGGACAGCTTGAAATGCAGGAGGAGGTAGCCCTTGCAAAGAAGGCACAAGAGAAGCTGGTCTCTCATGTGGGCGAGATGGTTCTGAAGGTTCAGACACTGCGTCGAATGAGGGATGGAATGGTCTTGTACCAGACGCTACATGAGGTCTGGATCCAGAAGGCGCTGGAACATTCGCTTCCCTATGTGATCCATGACCTTGAGATGGTCTTGGAAAAGCAGGAAAAGTTGGCTTAGGGCGCGTTGTATCTGCAGGCCTCTGATTCCCTTCTCTAAAACCGGCTGGTTTCGTTTCTGGCTCTCCTTTCATGTCAGGCAGCTTCACGGCCCACATGGGGTCTGGGGGAGTCGGGATTTCCACATTGGAGTTCTTAGGCATTTCTGGCACGGCTGGGAGAGGTTCAGTTGACGGTGGTTCAGGTTGTGCACCTGCAGGACGGTTAAACTTCAAACGCAGAAGGATGGCTTTCACCGCATCTTGCGTTTCTTGCTTGCTTGGACCCTTTTTTCGGTCTCCTTTCCTACGATTTTGCCCGGAGGGTAGATCGTACCTAATCGAGAAAGAAAACTTTTCGCCAAAGCACTTCGAACTGTTACCATTTTAAAAATTGTATCCTCTTCAGTTGAATACAAATGTCCAAATTTAATGTAGCTTGCGCAACAGCGCGTGGAGCAAGTATTTTGAGGCTGAATCAAGTCCATTTGAAAGAAACTATCACCATCTAGGTTGGGAAATCGCGAAACGCGTCAATTACAGGCAAGTTTTGGCTTGAATTTATTTCCACACTAATTTTCCGCTGAAAGGGCTGATGTTCCACAACATTGCACATATGAGAAAAATCCCGTCCGTTACCTGTAATAGACTCCTTGACTGGGGCTGAAGAACTTCGTAGCGGGTTTTCCATCCTTGACGCTAATAAGGTCCTTCATCCGCTGTGGGTTCGAAGAAACGGTACTGTAGAAGAAGCCCTTTTTGGGATAGACAACCGTTACTTGATCTTGTCTCTTGTTCCTCCAATTCTTATTACGTTGTCTGCGGTGCCTGGTAGCGAAAACAAGATCTCTCATTTCATATTATCGCACTTTACTATGATGTAATTTGCAGAATTCCCTCTTTGGAAGAGAGAAAGAAACAGTGAGGAAGAAGAGGGAGTGGTAGGAGATTACGTCAGAATGAACAGCATACTGCTCGGGTGTAGACAATGGCATCTAATAACCAGTCTGGTAGCTTACTTTCACATGGATTGCGGCCAATGAAGAACGACCAATGCATTCTATATGAACGTTTCGAGAAGCTGGTTTTCCAACGTACATTTCCAGGGTGGTCTATAGAGCATGTTTTCTAGATTCTCTTTCGTTTTCATCTTCCACGTTCGAGCCCGAATGTGAAGCAAGAAATGATCAAACTCACGCAGAGGAGGTATACGCGATGCAGATGAAGATGGCCACTAAGGCCAAGAGCCTTCGGTTGCCTCTCATTACTCCCTCTGAAAAATGAAATTAGTAATGCCGAAACTATATCATCTCGATCTCTGGCTAAAGTGAGCTTATTGACTAAGATTGTGCTTTTCATCTTGGAGATCGACAGGATTTAAACAAACACGAATCTTGGAATCCGGAAACGCTTGCATCGAAAAAGTGTTCCAAACTCATGCCAGATTCGTTCTGTTAAACTGCTTAAGAAACACTTGCTTTGACCAAGAGCTTCCCCAGTTATGAGGTGTGCTCGAGGGGCCTCTCCCTCTTTTCATGGGCTTTCTACTCGAGGTAGAAATCGGAACTTTTTTGCTTGGTATGGAGGTATTCCATAGGGTGGCGCAAAAAAAATGTTTCACATTTCATTAACCTGTATTTTCATTATTTAAAACGGTAGAAAATTGAATTACGTGTCATCTGAAAGGCAAACTCAAAGAGTTTTTTCAATGTTGAAAGACAAAAACGGTGAACACTTTAAGTGTTCACCGTTTTTGGCTAATCTGTCTGTAACGCACAACAGTGTTTTTAATAACCTTGTTCAGTGTTTCTTGCGCTATGCCTCTGAGCGCCGTAACCACAGAACGTTTGAGTTCATTAATGTTGTGTGGATTTGCGGAGGACACCTTTTCTTAAAGGAAACCCCATTTAAAAAAAAACTACCGGATCAGGAGATGTTGCTGACCACGAGATGTCCCCTTTCATATTCATAACGCTTTCTCTTCAAACTTATCAACGATCTTGTCAATCGTTGGACTTGATAGAGGTGTTTATCAGGAAAAAAAAAAACAGAGCTAAGAGTGTTCATCGTGCATAAATTAATTGAGATGCCTTCACCTGCTACTGCGAAGAGAGAATGTAGACGATGGCTTCCTGATGAAACATCAAATCCAACGATTAAGAATATTGTCAATAAGTTTGAAGAGGAAGCGTTATCAATACGAGAGGGGACATCCCGTAGCTAGCACCGACTCCAGATTTTTTTTTTAAATGGGGGTTCCTTAAAGAAAAGGAGTTCACAAAAGCACACACCATTAATGAACTCGTACGTTCTTTGGCTACAGCACTCAGAGGCAAAACGCAAGAAACTCCCGAACAAGGCTATTTAAAACACTGATGTATGTTACAGACAGATTATCTAAAGGAACGGTGACCACTTCAACCGACTCTTTCACATTGAAAAACTTTTTGAGTTTGTCTATCATATGACATGTTATTTAATTTTCTAACATTATGAATAATGAAAATACAGGTTAATGAAATGTAAAACATTTTTGTACATCACTCTTTATATTCCGCATCTCATATCCTATATATCCTACATGAAATATATTTAAGGCAAATTTACCGGTCTTTGATAACATAGACTCGAAAAGTCGAAAAAATGTAAACTGCTTAAAGTAAAAGCTTGATTTTGCTCATCTTTGTCCATGAAAGCAAAGCGAAGGCAAAATAAAGAAAACTAGCGCATATTCCAGGCTTACGATTTCAAGATTCTGACAGCAATTAGTAGTATTTAAACGTGTGTGACCACATTTATCGGCATTATGTCGTAGATTTCTGAGACCTCTGATAATTGCAGTCGGTGGCAGATTCAGAAATATACTGGGGGGGACTTGATGCTTCGGATTTGTGAAGACTAGTGTCGTGCGCGGGATTTTTGAAAGGGAGTACCTCAGCATTGTGACAATTAACAAGGTGTTACGAGGCAAAACGAAACGACTTGCCTTATGACACATTTTTCTATCCGTTCATCCAAGTACAACAACCTACTCGGTTAACGCTTCCAGCAAACTTCCAAGATCGAAAAGAAAATTGACCTGCTTTCCGGTGGTGGAAACCAGAAGACACGGGAGCGAAAGGCGCATGAGACAGCACGGGAGGAGTGGAATGTAGGACTGATCGCGGTTTAATTAAAAATCACCAGTCCGGGCAAGAATCGGGAAAGTCCAGGAGTTGATCACCTTGAGCAAGGTTAGACCTGCCCCTTTCCTACCTCACTCTTTCTTTTCCCCATCCTGCTGTTCTTCACTTGGCGATTAGACGGCTTAAGGGCGTGGTTTACCGGAAACTATTTGTGTCGAGCGAAATATCTTTCATTGCGATGCGGATTGAGTGTACAAGAGCGTAGGCGAATCAAATGTCTCCTCCCGAGAATGTCTTCAAAATAAAACAATAGAATTTCATTTATGGTATTCTTTGTCGAGCAAAGAAATCCTGAAGTACAATCCTAAAACCGCGTATCCTGTGGAATACAGTTATTCATTACTCGTGCATCGTTATATATTCATGAATTTATTTATAGGACTTTGCGAATGAAATACGCAAGTGACCTCGCCAGAGAGACGGTATTCTGAAAAAGGAGAAGGAAATTCTGATGATACGTATTGCAATACGCCATGCCATTGCATGAGTAAACCTTTGTGCTACGAAGGTTTACTCAGCAACTCCTTCCCGTCTTCCTCCCACCTGGTATATATTTTTTCGTTTTTCAGGTTAAAAGACCGTAAGCGAGAGACTTTACGTAAGACTGAAGACATCGGGTGAATAGAGATACTTCCACCCGTAAATCGTGACCAATTTCTGCGACAGACTATCAAAGCGCATGCAGGGGATCAAAATGACTTCAAGTTGATGTAATGGAGATGATCTGAATCCATAATCACACGATCGCAGTGATCAGTTATGAATTTAAAGCGGTCTGTCAAAGTGGACCAACTTTCTCGAGCAACAACAGCTGGTTCACCCAGAATTCATTAATGTCATTATATTTTGTTGAGGCAATTTGCCCTATTTCATCAATTTAACGAGCTCGCAAGTTAAGCTGGCGGGATCAAAAAGCCTTCCACTAAAATAAATTTGTTTTTATGCAAGTCAAATGCATGGAACCTGAATTCCTTCTGGCAATCGGTGGTGGAACTGGATTGTAACCACTCCTACGGAATTTCTCCATGAAAATATCTTGCATTCTTGGCATATAAGCATAATTCCTGACTTGCAATTACAAGACGGCGCCCTATGGGCAGGAAACAAGGTGCATGCCGAAGAGATTCGTTTCCTGTATTTCCTGATTTTAGTTCACTTCATCCAAGGTATGCATGTCATAATCAGTCCGTCGAAGAGCATGCCTACAAGGAATGTGTTCAAGTTCTTTCTTTCTAATAAATATCTTAATGGACCGAATGAACTGAAATTGTCGGGAAATATTCGCATCTTGATGTGACCAGTCTGAAAAGATTCTGTACGTCCCACCGCGAGTAATGCTGAGAAATACCGATAAGAAAATTTTCCGGATTATTCTCAGTCTTTCCAATCTTGCTGGGTTATTGTTAAATCCCTAACTTTTTTGCTTAGAACCGGACGGAGACGGCCGATTCGGTCCTAAAAGCGACGACCGCCTACACTCAGAGAATCGGTAAATCGAGATGAAATACTTCTCTCAATTTTCGCGTTTCGGTTTATTTTTCTCAAGAGAAAAAGATATCAACTGGATTTTCGATTTATATCTCTCGCTTCCCGACCGTGCAGGGTCGCCTGAAAGGCGTTCGAAAAACCAAAATGCGTCTATAGCCGAGTCGGAAGGGTGTTTTGAGTGGCTGCGCATCGTCTAGACCAGTGGTTCTCAACCTTCCTTTTACTCCCATTGAACCTTCATGCATTCGGGGGGGTGACACCTCCCAGGTTGAGAACCACTGGTCTAGACACATGTTAGCCTCCGTATTCCACTTCATCGTGCCGAGGAAGCCCCCCCCCCNCTTCGCTAAAAGCTCCGTTGTCTCCCTTAAATGAGGTTCGTGTATTCGGGCTTTAAGCTCAAAAGCCACTATATTCCCACAATAGGACATGCAAAGCAAATTTCGATGTGGCTGAAGTGCATAATACACCTGACCTATGCACGCAGAATCAAATTAATGCATTTTCGTCGAGAAAAAAGTTGTCCTCCATGTGATGCGTTTTTATCGCATCCAACATTTGATGCGATAACCGCATCCAAAATTCGATGCGATAACCGCATCCAAAATTCGATGCGATAAAGACGCATCATATGCAGGACAGATTTTTTCGCTAGAAAAATGCATCGAACTGAGGCACTGAATTTTCTGTGTGTAGAGTTGACTTCGTTGTAACGTTTTCTTTCAAGCGTCTCAACACATCTTACCGGCACGAGTTTCCTTTCGAGGATCACATGCGAGGCGTTGGCCGATCTCCGTTTTCTTTCACGTAATCCTCATTAGTGGATTAGCTATTGCGTAGAGAATAGAAAGGCAAGGCCGGAGAAAACGGGGGATGTTCTCAAAAAGCAGGTTAGGGGCGAAATTAGAGATGCTTATGCAATTGACAAGGTGACAAAAAATGCGTTTGAGAAATCCACTGGAGGGTGCCCCCTAATTTTCTTCCTTGTCTTCGGTCACTTGGAACCGGTCGATGCGTTTCGTTAGTACGTTCAAGTGTCTGTCAGGGTTCTCCCCGATACCGATCACAAACACGTTCGGGTTTGTTAGACCTCCACGGAGTCAATTACGTCTATCGTGACGTCTTCATGAATGATGACATCATCTGTGACCTGCATACCTTGGACGTAGATTCCGCTAAACGCGCATAGGTATTGCGTTAGATTCCTGACGACTCGGCATTCCAAGAAGATACAAAGTAAAAATTGTTTTCAACTCAGCCCTTCGTTCTCATAAACACATCCGTACGGTAAATCCGGTCCAACCTTGCTACGCCGGTATGGTCTCTTTTATGACAGCTCTTTAATCAGGTGGTGTCTCCCGCTTGTTAATACCTAAAAAGCGGATTTCGAGCCATCAGTGGAGAGATCTAAGAAGGCTATTTTCTGAAGAAAATTCCGAGTTGAAAAAAAAGTTCCAGAGTTAATGCCATTCATCAGTGACACCTCCACCCCCGCGGTGCCTGCTACATCACCCTCTTTCCTTATCGGAGTGGAATACAAACCACATTTTTTGAACCCTTGAGGATTAAAAGTGTAGCAAGGTTATATTAGGTTATATTAGGACTGCACAACAAGAGGCAATTTCTAGTATCAACATTGCATACCACGCAGTTCCTTTTTCTAACATTTTATATACAGTTTCATCACACAGAGAAATGTTATGGTTAGGAAGACGTATATGATATTATACAAAATGTTCTTGGATAGTATACACGATGCAAGTGATCAAAATTGACCAACATTTTATACTCCTGGTGCGCAATTATAGTAATAGATTACTCTCTTAAAAGCATTGAGCATTCGAAACATGAGCATCACCGATATGTACGGAATGTGCCAATTTTGACCATCGAGAATTAGCTGGGAAGTGTTACGTCCTGGGGTTGGACATTTGTGTACGACACTTTCATCCACAATGTTTTCCGAAGAACATACATGGTGAATGTTGCATTTTAACTTTTAGCATCTAGTTCATGTGAATCGACGTGCATTTCTTACGTTCTGGCAATAGGGTCAGATTCGTGGAAGCTTTTTTTTCCCCTTTCAGTGCCATCTTCGATCCTTGCAAATATCCCTATCAGAATGATATTTTCATACCAATGGGGGAAAGAACGGGCTATTGACTCCATCAGGGTTAGAAACTGTAAGCCTAGGGATAGGCCCTCTGGTAGACGTATCTATGCATCAGCCAGGTAAAGCCAGCAGAATGCCAGGTCCTATTATTCGTATATATTGTAATTAGGGAGCCGATTTTTATGAGTTAATAAGTCCTAAAATATGCACATAACATATGCGCTTAAAAATGCCAAAATATGCATGAAATATGTACGAATATGGGAAAATATGCATAAACATGTTTTTTTTTATGCACGAATTTTTCGGAAGGAACTTCAATGTATCAATACATTAAGTGCCACTACTGGGTATAGTTGGTCTATTCTTGTCACAGCCAGCGCCTAAGCCAGGAATTCGCCAATGGAGGGCTAAGGGAAATGAATGGGGGCTAGAATTTCCTAAACTTCTCGAGAGGGATGGTGGTAGCGGATGGATTTAGAGCAGAGTTTTGGGGGCTTCACCACTCCAACCAGCGCATAACCGCTGGAAAATTTGTATAGGTTGTTCATAAATAAACATTTTCCTGGAAAACTCTTTTTTTTTTAATTTAAAAATGGGCGAAATAGGCATAAATATGCACATGTTGAGAAATATATATTTAAAAAATGCATTTTTATGCGTTTTAAAAATGGCAGAAATTGCTTCCTCTACCAATAAGACGCAATCCTATCTGGGTTGTATGCTCCAGAAAGGTTGTAGGCTGCAGAAAAAAATGTTTTTGCATAGAAATCCGCTCCCTAATTATAATATACGTACATTTGGCTCTATCAATGTATAATATAAGCCTAACCTTATTTACGTTTGTGGTCTGACGTTAGGTCTGATGTTTTTTGAAAGTCCACCTCCTTTAAGCATTGGATGCATTCGAATTTCGTAAAATTTTCAAAAATAGGCCTACTTGTTAGCAGCAGGGGCTCCACGAGAAGAAAATGTAGCCAGGAGCGGCTAACACATGGGAAAAACGAAGAGTGTCATGACTGACGAGCAGGCATGCAATGCCTTACAAACTATGTGCACCGCCCGGATGCAATTTCAGGCGTTGTATAAGCGATTTCTCTGCCCGTGGTAGAGATACTATGAGGTGTTTCAACTACAAAATTGTCAGCATGTGTATTAAATTAAATGTTTTATGTAATGCTTTTATGTGCTCGCACGAGTTGTCTCAGATCGTAGTCATTCAAAATAAAAACGTGATAAAAAGCAAATAGAAGATAAGTCAAACGCGGTCACAAAATGTCACTTTGATAACTGATCGGGAATTTTTTAGCACATCACTGGGCTTTTGGGTTCCACAGTCTCACGATACGATATGAGATGAACTC